TAAGTTACCCTATTATGGGTATATAGTAAGTAATAGGGTTTTCGGCTTCTGTATTATAGTAACTTGATTTAAAAACCTTAACAGCAACCCAGGGACTGCTTTAGAGATGAGAGTGGCGAAATGCTTCGTCAAACCACCTCTGTCGATGGCATCTGTGGTGAAGCAGCTGCTGTCCATGAAGGCAATCCTCAAATCCAGCTTGGTCATATCATCTGCGCTCAATTGGGTCATTTCGTCCCATGTTAACTGCTCAATTGCCGTGTCCATCAGCTCATAGGTGACCTCTGGGACGTTCAGTTTCAAGGTTCCTCCTTTGGTAGTGCTGCGCGAGAGCAACCAAACTTTCAGGAGCATATTCCCTCAGCTGACTTCAGGTTCTAGTGCTTCGTAGGAAGTTGACGGATGGGTTCCAAGGACCACTACAGGAACTTGTATAGGTACTAATAGGCCCCCCCTCCCCGCCCATGCTAGCCCCCTAGAAATCTTAACTCTCCCTAAATAACCTCAAGTAGGGGGAGTAAGGGGAACCCATGAAGGATACGCATCCTCTGCACTACCTCCCTCCCTACAAATCAGGGAGTCCTTAGATCACTTTAGCCTAGACCCTAAACCCTTAACCCTAAACATTTAACCCTTAACCCAAAACATTTAACCCTTAACCCTAAACATTTAACCCTAAACATTTAACCCTAAACCCTTAACCCTAAACATTTAACCCTAAACCCTTAACCCTAAACCCTTTAGGGAAACAGGGAGCCCTAAAAGAATTCCGAATCGCCAGGCTAAAGCCGCCCAGATGCTGGCCGCAAAGCTCCAGGCATGTATTTGGTGAACCACCAGGGCCAGGGGAACTGCTGCCCAAAGCCTGGGATAATACCACAGGGTTGAGGGCGAGCAGGGGGTTTAGGGGTTTAGGGCTTGGGGGTTTGGGGGGTCTAGGGGTTTAGGGCTTGGGGGTTTAGGGTTTCGGGCTTGTTGGTTTAGGGTTTAGGGGTTTAGGGTTCAGGGGCTGCTGTTAAGGAAGCTACTCGCAAGTTACCATAATATGGGTATATCGTGAATCATGGAGATTCCTTCTAACAGCACGTTTAAAAACTTCTTTAACAGCAACCCAGAAGCCAGAGAACATGCGTAAGAGCTTTGAGAGGCAGCAGCAGCGTGTTGAAGACGCTGCCCACGTGGCAGCCACAGGCGCAACCCGTTACGGCCATCTCCAGGGTCAGAAAAGCAGAGATTCCGAAGAGAAAGGCCGCGGGGCGGGATGTGGTGATCCCCTCCTTCTGCATGTACGAAGCCGCCAAAGCACCGGCCAAGAGAATCCTGGGATATTGGATGTAGCTGGGAGCCGTGAAGTAAAGGCACCAAGCCAATAAGCACAAGCTTAAAGCAGCTGCGAAGCCATAGCTGGCCCATTCCCCCAGGACCCACTTGCTGGGCTTCACTTCTATGGAAAGGAAGTTCCGGAACATCACCACGTAGGGCAAAAGAGGTGGAGACATGAGTATGGCCTCCTGCACCACGTCCGAGGTAGGAGAGGGCATCAGCTCCACCACCAAGCACAGCTTCCTGCAGTAGTCCCACCGAAGTTCCCAGTCCTGCTTACGGGAATGAATGCGCATACTACGGTGGATACTCAACATCCTGCAAGGCCCTAAGGACCCTGGACCATGCGAATTATGATACTTTAGTATAGTAAGGTCATGCAGGCTTTTAATATCAAGAGTTCTCCCTACGTCCTCCCAAAATCATCCCTATAATATTCCTCCCTGCAACCCGTGCCCGGCATTCCCAACTAAGCCGTACACCCTAGCCCTAAACTCGATCCCCGAACCTACCATCCTAAGTCTACAGGAGAAAAGCGTCCTTTTCATTGCCAGCGAAGAACCCCAAACCCTTAACCCTGAACCGCGCGTGGGCAGGCCTCGCTCAGGACCATCGCTAGACCTGCTTGCATTCGCAGAATATCTCACCACTATTGCATTTGCATGGCATTTACTGGGTTGCTGTTGAGGAACTTAAATTGAGTTACCATAATGGGTATATATAGTAATCAAAATTTGCCTACATGGTAACTTAAACTAAGTTCCTGAACAGCAACCCAGTTTAGTGCTTGGGCTTTAGGGCTTAGAACGGGGCTTAGGTTTTTGGGAGTAGGGCTTAGGGCTTGGGGTTTAAGGCTTAGGGTTTAGGATTTAGGGCTTAGGGCTTAGGGTTTACTACACAAAACTAAGACCAGGCATGCATGGCTTGGGGTTGAGGGTACTGCAGGGGCCTAAAGAGTTACAAGTATCATTCAGGAGTCTTTTTGAAGTACCCTATACTAGACTTCTACAAGGAATCTTCTTAAAAGTAGTTCAAGAACAAAAGGCCTGCAAGGGCCAGAAGAAGCACCAGAAGAAGCAGAGCCACGGGGGTTCCCCAAATCATCAACGCCAGGACACCTGACAGACTCTCAGGCCCTAAGGGTCCAAGGGCCCCAAATAATGGGGTTTTTGGTCCCCAATACCACTAATAGTATAGTATTTGGGCCCTAAAACCTTCTTCTTTAGGCCCTTGGACCCTTAGGGAGGGTGAGGTCTGACTTCCGCTCACGGCTTAGGTTTTTGGTGTAGGGTTTAGGGCTTGTAGGCCTATAGCTCGAAACGGCTTTGGGCTTAGGGTCGTTGCTCTACCCCCCCCCTCCCGGTACTATTTCCCCTTAAACAAGGCTTATGCAAGCTATTTCAAGCTAGTGGAGGGGAAACTTTGGGGGGTATAGTACAAAGAAGGCAAAGCTCGGGGTTTATGGTCATAGTACTGTTAATACTCTCCCCCGAACTACACGTTGACCCTATCTTCTTGTTGGCAGAAGCAACCAATGAAGGGATGGTTCCTGTGTTCCTTCTTGACTTACACCAGTACGTTCTAGCGCTTCTCGTGTGTGGAGAGCCTCATCAATTTCCACGTTAGTTTGTATGCCAAACTCTATACCCAAGCCCTACATAAACTCATCCCTCAACCCTGAACGTACACCCTACATTGGCCCTACATCCCAAATTCTAATCCAGAGCCCAAAACTCTGACTGCACGCACAACGGACGGAGCGAAACCTGTACCTGCCCAGACCCCCAAAGGGATCTAAAAATAAGATCCCCTAGAACCATATGGAAGATTATATATGGCTTATATAGGGGTTATAATGGGTTTATATATGGGATCTAATTTTTAGATCCTCCCAGGGGTCTGGGTGGAGGATTCCTGCTCCTCTGTAACCCTCCTTAGGGTTTCAGGATTTAAGGTTTAGGGTCTAAGGGCTTAGGGACCTACAGTGCAAACATGTCGTTTGCCAATTCTTTAGGGCGATACTATGAGAAAAATGTATAACAATTCCCACGACAGTCCTGTTCAAAGGATAGAAGGGCCAGCATGCTACACATATATATATATATATGTATATATACATAATATGTATATATATGGACTACTTGCTACATGGATCCCTTCCCTCGATTCCCTACCCTAAACCCTGAACCCTCAACCCAAAACCCTGAACCCTAAAACCTACCCCTACACCCTGAACGGTTTAGGCTTTTAAACTCACTGCCTACAGCACAGCCCAAGTGGTGGCTGGACGCTGAGAGCTCGCTTCGAACATGCAGGGCAAACTGCAATAGATCTTTCCTAGTTTGCTTTTAAGGAGCTTAACTAAGTTCCCGAGTAACCTCTAAACACAAGGGTACCCTGTTTCCTACTGTTCAGCTTAATAAGAAGACCCTACAAGAAAAAGGGAAAAGGGTACTACTGGGGTACCCGGTTAAACTACCTTAGAGTTTAGTGTTAGGGTTCAAGGGTGAGTTGTTGTTGCCTTGCTCGAACTCAGATACTACAACAAGAATACGTGGTTAATACTTTGGTTGTCTTGCAACAGGAACTTAACTTGACATCCTATATAACCCTATAGACTATAGTAGTTTCCATCTTATTTTCCATCATCATCATCATATAACCCTATATCATCCCTAAATAACCCTAAATAGTCCCTATTTACCCCTATCTCGTCCTTATACAACCCTATTCACCCGGGCTTAAAGTTGACTCAAGTTCCGTAATGGCAACACATTCCTTTGCCTTCTTTCTCAGGCCAAACAATAAGGGCCTTTCTCAAAAACAGCCACTATCTGATCCCTAGTGGGGACCCCTACACACTCCAAGTACTGGGGTCCCTTGGAGCACCGATTTGGAACCTCACTGAAGCCTAAACGCTAAACTTTAAGCTCTAGGCCCTAAACCCTACACTTTAAACCCTATACTCTAGACCCTGAAACCCCAACGAATGGTAATGGCTGCTAATGCTGGCCCGGCTTCATCTGGCTACTGGATGCTGTGGCCCTCGGCCGCGCTGAGGAGTTGAGGGTTTAGGTTACGGGTTTAGGGTTAAGCGTTTAAGGTTAAGGGTTTAGGGCTTAGGGATTAGGGATTAGGGATCAGGTTTGGGCTTTAGGGTTTAGGGATTAGGGCTTGCGCTTTAGGGTGTAGGGTTATAAGGGGAATTTGGGTTTAGGGTTATAAGGGGATTGGGTTGGACGTTATTCGCAGACTAAGATACAAGGTTATAGGGGCTATACGGGTTTGGACTCAGGGTTTGTGTTTATAAGGGGGATTATGTTGGTCGCGATTGAGGATCCTTTGCGATTAGCTTGAACAGCTCCTGTGGGTTGCGTGTGCAGTGAGGGGAGCCAATTTTTGGATTGATTCAGGGTGTAGGGTAATGTGTAGAGTTTGCACACGAATGTCCTGACAAAAGTTGGTTTTGATGTTCACCTGGAGTAGAAGACGTCATCCTCGAGCTACTACAGGGTGCGGGTTTTAGGGTTTAAGGTTAGGGTCAAAAGAGGCCTTAACCACTTCGAACAATACTTGGCTGACTGTATGACCCCCTTTCTAAAACTCAAGCTATTTGTTTCCCTATAATAATCCCCATCAAACACCAGAAGTATGTGAAAGTCCTAAAAACCAGGCTATCGTCGGCCAAGAAAATTGGATTCCAAGCAAGAGTCTAGAGACATTGGACCATGAAGCAAGAACCACACGTGCAAGACCACCAGCACTGCCACAAAGGCAACCAACCGCACGACTGTAGGCCAGGTCAAGGCTAATGGGAAGGACGCAAAGAAGAGCACCATCCTGGCCACTTGCGGATTAAGGTCTAAGGATTAGAATTTAAAGTTTGGTGTACATTCTATCTGCGATAAGCGGAAGCCCTGAACCCAAAACCCCAAACGGCCTTAAATCTGAGAAGCCTCAATTCCAAACAACATGAACAGTCCTGTGTTGTATCACGCTGGGCTGATTGCACAGGCGTTTTATCCAGAACCTGACCTCGGCTGCACGAGGGACCTCTCTCAGAATTGAAATATGGGGGGATCCTCAAAAGTGGCGTGAGATCATGGCCTTTCTTCAAGGTTTACGGTTCGGGGTTGGGATTAGGATTTGGATTCCGAGACCAAGGCTCAAAAATTACGATCCGCGGTCAACTGGGCACTTCTCAAACTGTGGGTACCCTGGGGACCCAAGCATTGATGGGATTATAAGTCATAAAGAAAAAAACGGGGTGCCCCAGTGCACAAGGAGGATTCTGTAAGCCAATCCTCACATGGGCTTCCAAAGTTGATGTGCTGAAAACATACAAATTCTAAACCTTGCCATAACATTGCCCCGCCACATAGGGCTGGTGCGAGGGGTCTTGCTGCCACCTTTGCAATCCTTGGTAACCCAGCTTCTTTTTATCGAGTTCGCAGGTGGTGAATTTCCTGGCCCATATCAAAAACCAACCTTTCAATACTAGTACGTCTACCTGAAAACGTTACATATGATTCACTCAGCTACTAAGTGTTGTACGTAGATTGTGGATTGAAGTCTTGCACCACGAATGAAGCCCATACCTCAACATGTACAGTATTTGGGGTATCCCAACTGGTGCAAGATTTCCTCCGTCCACCGGAGGACCCGGTGGATGAACACAAACACCGGTAATATAGCGGCCTAAAATTTCACGTTTTGAGTAATTACCAAAAGCCCGTTGAAGTTTATTTGGGGTACCGAATTATATAAAGAACATGGGACTAACTAAAGCCGACACCCTGAACCCTAAACCTTAAACCCTCCTTGAAACCCCTGTCTTAAAAAGGTTCCAACGAGCTTTCGAGAATCTAGCCCCAGCATCATGTAAAATGCCTGGCAATTGCGGAGCCGCTTCTTTCAGCAACTTCACCAACACCTGGTGTATTGTAAGTCTCGGTTGAGGGTTAAGGCCTAGGGTTCTAGGCTTAAAGTTTTAGAAATAGACTCCTCTTTGCATACCCCCAAATGCACGACGCTTTTTCCAAGGACGCCAAATGGGAACCTATGATCCCTTCTGTATACCTACCCATACTAGATCCGTCTTCTAACTACTCCCAAAAATGGACCCTTCAATTTTGAAACCCTCTAAAACTTAAACTACCCCTAAACTCACGGCTAC